AAAAGAAGTAAAGTTCCTAGGTCACACACTAACAGAAATGGGTCTTAAACCAAACGAAGATAAAGTTGCAGCCATAAAAAAATTCCCCCTACCTAAAACACAGAAAGAAATAAAATCATTTCTTGGTTTAATAGGTTACTACAGAAAATTCATACAAGACTTCGCGAAACTGACAAAACCACTTACAAAATGTTTAAAAAAGGGAAATAAAGTAGAAACAACAAAAGAATACATAGACTCATTTGAAAAATGTAAAGAATTATTAATGAATGCACCAATATTACAATACCCAGACTTTGATAAACCATTCATATTAACAACTGACGCTTCAGACATAGCCATAGGTGCAGTACTATCACAAGGGAAAATAGATTCAGATAAGCCCATAGCATACGCTTCACGTACACTATCTGATACAGAACAAAAATACTCCACCATCGAAAAAGAATTACTTAGCATAGTTTGGGCCATTAAATACTTCCGCCCTTATCTATATGGAAAGAAATTCACAATAATAACAGATCACAGACCACTTACGTGGATAATGTCCCTTAAAGATCCAAATTCAAATCTAACGAGATGGCGTCTTAAATTAGCAGAATATGATTTTGACGTTCAGTATAAAAAAGGTAAATTAAACACAAATGCAGACGCACTATCCAGAGTTAAAATTTACAACAATGAGATAATCAACCCCCAACCAGGTACTTCAGCTGAAGATATAAACATAGAAGACATAGATATTCGAACCCTTTTAGACTTACCATTAACACCAAACATCATACAGGAAGACACATCACAACCTTTAAGTAATACCGAATCTACCTCACAAATAACTACAAATAAAGATTTAAATAAAATACCCGAGTCACAAGATGCAATCGACAGACAACTAAAACAATTTCATATTAGAAAATCACCCGGTAATAAATATAGTATTGAAGACAGATCAAAAGGCAGAATGATAATAAAAGACGTATTCATTCCAATTAACGACACAGAAGACCAAATCAAATCATTTTTACTAGAACATACTATACCCGATAGAATATTTCATTGTTTCTTCCATCACGAGGAATATTATGAGGTGTTTTAAAAAATTTATAAAACAATATTTAACAACCGTGGACCAAAATTAGTACGCTGTCTTAACAGAGTCACCTTAATAGAAAATATTAACGAACAGTTAGATATGATAAAAAAATATCATGAATGAAAAACAATACACAGAGGAATACAAGAAACATACAAACACTTACATAAAAATTATCATTGGCCTAATATGTTACTATCAATTCAAAAATTTATAAATAAATGTGACAAATGCCTAAAAAGTAAATACGAAAGAAACCCCCTTAAATTACCATTATCACTTACAGAAACACCACACAAACCAATGGAACACATGTACATGGACCTTTACAGTACTGGAGGTGTAACGTTCCTTACAATAATAGATAATTTTACTAAATATGCACAGGCAATATCACTATCAGCATACACTAGTATACACATCGCAGAAGCATTACTTAATATATTTTCCACAATAGGAATACCCGTAAAAATCACAACAGACTCAGACGCAAAATTCGACAACGAAGTAATTGGAGAAATCTGTGCAATGCATAACATAAATATACACTTCACTATGCCTTATAACCCAAATTCAAATTCACCAATAGAAAGACTACACTCAACACTTGCGGAACTGATTAGAATTCAGAGAATAACAGATAGGGATGAACCAGCTAACTTAATGAAGTACGCTATCATAGCATACAATAACACAATTCACAAATCAACTGGATTCACACCATTTGAACTTCTTTATGGACACACAAGTAGCAGAAATCCTTTAGAACTACATTTCCCCAAAGAATTTTATCAAGAATACGTAAATAAACATAAACAAATAATGGAAAATGTACATAAACTAGTAAATTCAAAAATAAATAGCGAAAAACAGATAGTAATAGATAAAAATAATAAAAATACAGAAAAAACTAATTTCAAAATTGGAGACAAAGTTTATAAACAAGTAGCAAAAACAGCCAGATCAAATAAACAAGAACCAAAGTACCTTGGTCCATATACAATAGTCCGCATTCATCCAGAACAAATCGCAGAAATCATAGGAAAACACGTAAACGTTAAAACTATTAGAGTTCATTTTCGTTTACTAAGGCGGCCCGAAAATGTTTCAGGAACGCCATCACCTGCATCGCAGTCCTCGGACTCACCGCAGCCACAGCAATCATTGAGCCCATAGACAATCATAACGGAATCCTAGTTATAACAGAAGCACAAGCACAATATCAAGTAGACACATACCACCTTGTTGTAGTATATAATACCACAAACCTCAGGGATATTTTTAAAACAATATGTAGTAATTATTTCACTTTAAAACTTAAAGTTACTTATACATTAAATAGCTCTATAACTAAACAAATAGAATACATGATAGATACAGTAGAGAGTAAGTTAGTATACTTAGGATTAGAAACAATAGGTGTTAGGATGAAATACAGACAAAAAAGAGGCTTAATAAACGGATTGGGTTCAATTATTAAATCAATCACGGGAAACTTAGATCAAGATGACGCAATAAGGTTCGAAAATGAAATCAATTCATTAAGATCAGTAGTTAACAATAATGCAATTGGTCAACAAGATACAATAGGAATAGTAAAGGATTTCACTCAGGAATACGAAACTAAATTAAGACAAATAAAAACAAATCAAGATATAATAGCTTCAGCCGTTAGAAATATATCAGTAAAAATCACTTCATTAGAACTAAATAGCAAATTATTTAATATCTATAATGAAATAGAAATTTCATTACAACAACTTTACGATAAACTAACTATGTTAGAAGACGCAATCACATTTTCACACCTGGATAAAATGCATCCTAGTATTATAGATCCCTCATATCTACTAGAAGAATTAAATTTTTTACAAAATCAGTTAACCTTAAACTTACCTTTTGCAATTAACATGAAGAATATTCACTTGTTAGAAAAAGCAATAACAGTAAAAGCTTACAGTACTAATGAGACACTAAAATTCATATTAGAAATACCACTTGTAACAACCAATACCTATAACCTATTACACCTTTATTCCGTACCTAATAATAATAATACAATCCTTATTCCACAAAACCCTTACCTTATCTTGAGTTTGCGTATCCCCACGACGCATGCACGAAGATTACAAGCAATAACGTCATCTGTAAACACCTAGAATGGCAAAAACTAAACCAAGCCAACGATTGCATCGCCCAATTAATACAGCATCAAGAACCGCATAACTGCACTTACGTAACAGCAAATTTCAACAATAACCTTATCCAACAAATTCAAGACAATAATTGGATAGTAATAATAAAACAAGAAGAAGTAGCCAAAACAACATGTGGAAATGACGTACAATACCAACGTATTAAAGCGTATATCTAATCACCAGCGACAACAGGTGCATTATCCAACTAGCAGAAAGAACCCTACAAACACATCAAAAATACGTCAACATAAAAGAAACCATACCATTACCTCGAGCATACGAAACACCTACCTCATCACCAATAACAATCAATCTAGACAATGTTGAACTGGATGACTTGAAAATTTTGATACAGAAAAGCAAAGAAATAAAACATACTCAACAGGACCCACTGGTATCAACGTCGCCTAGTTGGTCATCCGTAATGTTATATATCATACTCACCACAGCAGCAATCGCAACAATAGCATACAAGTATTGGTGGTCGCGAAGACAAAAGACGACCTCGACCTTACCAATTTATGTCGAAGAAGCTCACCATCAACCGCTGCAGCCTTCGGTACGCCTTTCGCTTAGGGGGGGGAGGAGTTATGTAGGCATAAACACCTAAAACATCAACATCGATAACACGTACCAGGAAACCAAGACAATTACTCCATTCATAAAGACGGTCATAACGTCTTCCTTTATTACCTTCCGTACTCATGTTATAAGGTCATTAGATTATAAGTATGTAATAAGATAAGTTGCCTGTATGTAAAACATCCAATAAAGAATCAGTCTTGTTCAGCTCTTCAAGCAAGTAACTCGTCAATAAAAAACAGTTGCTTTTTAAAAAGCTTATTGCCCTCGCCCATCTCCTAACTCGTGGTGAGTGTTTTTTTATGAAAACGATCTCTGGGTACAGTTGTGACATTTTTACCGGGTACGGTTGTGACAAAAGTGAAAACTGTTGTTTTTTGTTTTAGATGCCTAGAAAACGCACGAGAAAACAGAAAGAGGACAGTGTAACTTGTCTCAGTATGAAGAGGCTTGCAATGAAACAAAACGCGAGACTTCTTTGCGACAAGCTGCGGAGATGCATAATGTTAATCGCATGTCTCTATTAAGGTATATTCGTAAACGCGATAATGCCAGCATGAACGATAATGAAATCAGTAGCACTAGCATGGGGTATGTCGCTCACAATAAAGTGTTTTCGGAACAACAAGAGCAGCAGTTGTCAAAATATTTACAGCGTTGCGCGGACATTTATTTCGTACTTACTCCTAAACAGATGCGGAAGTTGGCTTTTGAGCTTGCAACTCAATATAAGCTAAAGCGACCTGCTACTTGGGCTGAGAATGAGATGGCAGGCGTAGAATGGTTCCGTTCATTCCTGAATAGAAATCCTTCTCTATCTGTTCGAGTAGCTCAAGCTACCAGCCTTTCAAGGGCAACAAGTTTCAACGAATCAAATGTGAAAGCTTTTTACGACAACTTGCAAGTTGTTATGGACAGACATACTTACGAGCCACAGGATATTTACAATGTCGACGAAACAGGCGTCACAACTGTCCAAAGACCTGATAAAGTCGTCGCAAGGCGTGGTACAAAGTACCAAAGTAGAATAGAGTTTAAGTTTTAATGTGATTTATATTTGTTAAGTCAACTTTAACTAATTTCAAATGCAGACTGTTATAATACTATAAGGTAAATAATGGTTATAAATGAAGACTGATATTGTAACCAAAGATCCTATAGTGCCTTGTAAGTTGTAAGAGATTAAAATGTTTGGAACATTTTTTATTTTATTTCTTTTGTTGATTTTGTCATAAATATATAAATATTTATTGCAATTATGCATTGTTGTTGCATTACATGTTGCATTTTTATCTTATTTTGTGATCTTTTTACAGTATTTTCATCATGTCATTATTGACCCCCCGTACTGTCACAACCGCCCTGGAGTGGGTTCAGTTGTGACAATTTCCCTTTTTTTTTTAAATTTCATTTTATAAATTAACCATTTGATTTAGTCATATAACTTTATTATTTATACCATAAGCAATGAATAAACTAAATTATAATACATTTTTGGTCAGATTAATAGCTTAATTACAAAATTATTTGCGATCATATGAAAATTGTCACAACCGTACCCAGTCTACCCTATGACAGTTTTATTTAGTTATAATTGCTGATGTCGATTACTGGTTTTCATAATTGATTTTTTCCAATAATTGACAAGTGTCGATAATTATATTCATATAACACGAGATATGGTGCTCTTCTGCCTGTTGAATTAAAAAGGTTGATAAAAGTAAAGTTACCAGTAATCGATACTATGTCTATTAATGGAATTGAAATGTGTCGATTATTGGTTGTTATAGATGGCACCGAGAAAAACTACACTCCCGACCAGATATAGAAAGCAGTTTAGGCTGTGCGAAATGGTGAAAAGATTGTTATTGCTGCACAACGTTTCGGAGTACCTAGGATTACTCTTCATGATAAATTACAGGAAAATCTCAAATTAATTGCACAATGGGGCCAAAAAGCTAGAGAGAACATATTCCACTTACTAAAGACTCTTTGTTGGATAGTGTGCAAAAAATAATTATTAACCAAAACAGACTTATGAAAGAGTTTCTTCGTCCATTGCCACGAGTGTTCCCGATGAATGGGCAATTGTTAAGTCGGAGAGCGGGTGGACGTGCAGCAGCACGTTTTACGAATATGTAACTAATGTTTTCAACCCTTGGTTATAGCAAAATAATATCGAAAAACCGAAATAATTCTTTGTCCACAAGTCACACCTCACGCTTCATCTATCCAATTTTTGTTTTCAAAATGGTATCGAGTTTTTTGCTTTTTACCCGCATGCTACACAAGTTTTATTATACACCGATGGACTGATTAGTCTTCAGACCCCTTAAAGCTCATTGGAAAAATACTGTTACACAATGGAATATGAAGAATCTTGGATAAAATATTCGTAAAGAGAATTATGTCCCAGTACTCCAAAAAGCAAATATAACGAAAGATTGCATCAAGAATAGAATCCTTCCGGGCACTGACCCACCCGGGTTCGATTCCCGGTTGGGTCAATGTAGAAAATTAGCTTTTCTATATTGTCTCGGGTCTCGATTTTATGGTACCCTCGTTATTCTATAATACGGAAGTTTAATCATAGTTATAGTTTTCAGTATTAAATTATAATAATAGAAATATTTTTTACTTCTTTGAAGGAGATGGCAAAGTTTTAAATCTATTCATATAAAAGTGTGACAAAATTTATGACATATTTACTTGGGATGATTTAAAACAAGTGTCAACTCAGCATTTCGGAGATCCGCGATATTAACAATATATTTCGATAGAATTAGATACTCTAGAACTAAAGCCTATCGAAAATTTTACTGAATTTGAAACAGAATACAAAATGTGAATAGTGCGTTATTTTCTAAAGTAAATTAATTCAAGATCAAGGGATTAGGACCGCTAAAATGATTATTTATAACAAATCGGCATTAAACACTTTTCTTAAAATTTATTTGAAGATATGAGTTGAATTATCCGATTAAAGGGTTGTGTTACGGAAGAAGAGTCCAACTACAATACAATATAATCTGAAAAATAAATCAAAGATCAGCGCACGTATGCCACCGATACCATTTGTTTAATCTTTTTAACCTAATTTTACTCCTAATGTGATGCCTAATACAAACAACAGATTCCAAAGTAATAATGTCAAACAAACATATAATCAGAATGCTAACTTTAAATTTGGAATTCAAAATGGGAAATAATCATCATTTTGAATTCGGAATCCCTAACCAAAATGTGAATAGATGGCTGAATCCTTATTTTAATAATTTAAATTAACAAAATAATAAACTAATTTTCAGAATTTAAGATATCCTATTAACAATCAATTTAAATTAGGTATTCCAAATTCATTACAAACACCTCGTCCAATGCAAAATACGGGTGCTTCTATGCGTAGTGTGGCGCCTATTATTCAAAACATGCTTAAGGAGTCAGAAAACTTAAGCGGAAATTCTGAAGAATCCCCTTTATATAAAATAAATTATCACGAAGACGAACAGTTTTTGTCAGAAACTGAAACCCTACGAAAATAGCGAATTACAGTACGATTCAGAATACCCCCATAGTAAATATGAAAACCAAAATTTTTATATACAGGCTTCGGACAGAGAAATCATGAAATATTTAAAATAAATAATAATTCAACTATCCACTTACCGCATATAGATTTACCAGAAATAAAAAAAAATATACAGGAAGTACTAGATCATTTACTAGTCTGGAATTTGTGGAAAAATATCTTCTATTATATATAAAAAAAAAATTCTATGAATAAGAGTCTAGTATTATAAAATATAAGGAATTTTAAAATTATATTTCTAATTTTAATTTTAACTATTCTTTACAATTTTGTTATAGTCAAGCGCAAGCTGAAGGAATGATGAAGTTCACAAATGAAAGATTCAAACAATTACTTTCAACTGAAATTAGCAGGTTAAAACGAAGTCTAATAAATTCATTAGGCTCACTCGTAAAATTAATAACTGGTAACCTAGATGAAGACGACACATTAAATAATGAACAAATGAATAAAGATTACAAACAAGACTTAATTTCAAAAAAGGTAAATATTGTCTTGGAAATGGCGGGTATATTAGCTAATGTTACACGAGCTACTCAGAGTAATCTCATCCAATTACGTGATGAAATAGTTCAAATTAACGACTATATTCTTTAATAACTTTTTATTCATATTCCTACAATTAGATGATTTTGAGACAGTCGTTGCATTTTTGAAAGTATTAAAGGAAATAGAACAAATGACTTGTTTTATCAGAAAAACTTAAAAAATTGTAAAATTAGAGCCAACTATTTCATTACAAGCCCATTTCAAGGAGAGACGAATAACGTTCATAATACGAGTTGCTTTAATACCCCGACCTGTACTGAATATCTATAATATAACTACTCTTATTCCTCCTAATTATCCTGGCGTACTCGTGAAAGAGGTTCAAACTCAATCGCTTACTCATCCTTGTCAAGAAATTGGTGAATCAATGTATCTTTGCTGCGAGGACGATATAACTTCACAAATCGAAGATAACTGCGTTACCAGCCTTGGAGAATTCGAAACAAACTCTAGCACCTGTCATCCAATATCTGTGGAAATCAATTCACTGTAGCTGAGATCTGTAAACAAAAATCATTGTATAATCTACACCAACAAACCAGTAATTCTGAAAGAAACGTACAAAGGTGAAGTAACCCGTATAAATCTCTTCGGTACTTATTCATTGGAAATGGATGGAAAATGTCTGGTTAAAATTCAATATATTAATGAATTATTATTAGCATCTTAGTATTCGCTAGGTGCACGATGGTAGCGCCAACTAGCGGTGACAATTATGTCGGACATTGAAATGTCAAATGGTTGGCATTTAGTACGAATAGTAAGTAAACAAACAATAATTTTATTGAAATAGCGTAATTTACTGAGATTTAATCCGATTATGTAAACCTAAGGTGTCGTTTATACTGTTGATCTTTTTTATTTTCAGTCTAAAATGCCACAATCAGTAAATTTCAGGTAATATACACGAGTTTTTTTTATGGCTGACTTTACGGAAAATAAATAAACAAATATAATCGAATAACGCATTTCATACATATTGCAGACGATCTTTTATAACTGTGGTGACATTAATGATGCAGAGTTTTTGTGTATTTTCAGTTAAATATGGTCAAATTAATCATAAGAACTGGCTTCCAAGCAATCACACACGACATTGCGTTTCAACCTCAAACGACCATAAAAGCAAAGCAATTAGTTTTGGCTCAACATGTACAAAATGTACAAGAAATTAAATGTGGAGATCATATGAGCCACACCATTGAAGCTCTTGGAATTCGACAAACTTCAGTGACCAACATATAAGACTTCCTTATATATTGATTCTAGTCGTAATGTTACAAGTGTAAAATGTGATTGTGTGTACAATAAGAGTGGCAGATGTATTTTTTTCCTTCTTCCAACTGCGTTCCATTTGTTGTTTGTATCTTGACACGGCTGAGTTTTCATTCACTCTTGTAGAGGTATATATAGCGGGAAATATTCTTGGGACGTAGCTAGGACTATCTTGTTCATCGGCTTTTTTGCCTCCAATTAAGTGAGCACTGTATATCATGTCATGAGGCTTTGGATACCATGGCGATCCATCGGCACTGATATTAAATATAACAAATTAATTATACTCGTAGCAACTTGACCACTGTAAAGAGCTATTTTCTGTACACACATACAACATTTAATATTAATTTGTTGTTTTTTAGGTTAACTTAGTTTTTTCTCTTGACAGCGATTATCCACTTCATTCGTTGTTCTTGTAGGGACACAGCATAAATGTATTAAGCTGACTTAACATTTTTAGCTTGCGTCGGAGCACACTTGCTCGCGCTCGCCAGTCGTTCTACGTCACACCTAGCACTAACTCGTAGACAACTGTTTTCAGTACGCAAATAGTTTATAGACTATATCTTTTTTAATGTATATATGTACTTCATTGTTTACGATTAATATAACTAATTCCAGTGATAAATCTTAGTTTTTATTTACAACCTTCTGCTGGAGTAATATCCGTACTAGTAGTGATAAGTGAATATCGAGTATCGGACAGAATAATAGAGAATAAGAAAACGGACAGTGGTGACCCCGTAAGAACACAGAATTTATAATTAATATTATAAGGAGCGACTCGCGTGCGGTACGGTTAGCGCTACGGTAATTAATTTTCACGGACCGTTTTATAAAGAAGTAAACGTTTATTACATATTTTTATTGTGATACAATGGCTCAACCACAATATCAAACGCAACCAACGGGCGGAGCAGTTCCAAGGGAAGCTAAGACGCAAATGGACTTAGCCGCAGTAACGGTATCTTCCCGTTTCCCAGAATTCTGGATGGATCAACCAAGACTCTGGTTCATTCAAATCGAGGCTATTTTGAATCCGCAAAAATTGAGTGATCAAGCAAGATACGATCTCGTCATCGGAAAGTTAAACAAAGAGGTAATAAGCCAAATAACCGATTTATTACTACAACCTCCGGATAGTGAAAAATATACAAGTTTAAAGAATAAATTACTCTCAATTTATGAAGAATCGGCGACAAGACAATTGCATAAATTGTTAGGCGAAATGGAACTCGGAGAGCAAAAGCCATCGCAGCTGATGAGACGCATGCGTGACTTGGCACGCGGGAAAATACCTGATGACACGTTATGCATATTATGGCAAAACCACTTTCCATCAGGAACCAGAGCAGTTTTAGCTGTATCAGAAAACAAAAAAATTCGCCGCTTTGATACAGGTGCTAATATTTCAGTTTTACCAATTAAGAATAAATATAATAATATATAATGTTCAGATTATAAATTATATGCCGCAAATGGAACAGAAATTAAAACATATGGTATAAAGAATTTAGATTTAAATTTAGGTTTGCGGCGAGCATTTAAATGGACATTTGTAGTAGCAGATATTCGGCAACCTGTATTAGGTGCCGATTTTTTAAATAAATATGGTTTATTAGTAGACATAAAATCTAGGAAACTTGTGGATAATGTGACTAATTTGAACGTTAATGCATCTATTGTAAATTCCAGGGAATCCGCCGCGAAGACAGTGGACGAGAGACATCCTTATCATTCATTGTTAAGCAAGTATCCCGACATTACTAAACCAGTAAATTTTAAAGAACCGCCTAAACACAATGTGTACCATCACATAGAGACTAAAGGATCTCCCATATTCACTAGAGCTAGACCATTACCACCAGAGAGGTATAGAAAAGCTAAAGAAGAATTTAGGATAATGCAGGAATTGGGCATCTGTCGGCCTTCAAAAAGTCCATGGGGCAGTCCATTGCACATCGTACCGAAGAAAAACGGTGAAATAAGACCTTGTGGAGACTATAGACGACTAAATTCAGTTACGAAACCCGATAGATACCCAATTCCGAGAATACAAGATTTAACATATACGTTGTCCGGTAAGAAATATTTTTCAAAGTTAGATGATAATAGAGCTTATCATTGTATTCCGATCGCGGAAGAGGATATTGAAAATACCGCGATTATCACACCTTTTGGCCTTTCCGAATTTCCTAGAATGATGTTTGGTATTCGTAACGCAGCTCAAACCTTCCAAAGATTCATGGCTACAGTTTTTCAAGGGCTAGATTTTGTATTTACTTTCGTTGATGACGTATTAGTAGTTATAGCGAAGAAGAGCATCAACAGCATCTGGAGATGGTATTCCAGAGACTGAATGAGTATGGTATCACGATCAACATTTCAAAATGTTCTTTCGGTAAGTCAAAAATTGAATTTTTAGGGTTCGAAGTGACTCCAGAGGGTATAACGCCACTACAGGATAAGGTCGCTGCGATATCAATTTATCCTAAGCCAGAGACAAGTCAAGATCTTCGACGTTTTCTAGGTATGTTAAATTTTTATCGGTCTCACATTCCAAAGGCAGTGGAACATCAGGCAGAGTTAAATAAATATTTGCATAATTGTAAAAAAAAAGATAAAACTTCAATTGTTTGGACGGACAGTCCACAGAAGCTTTTGAGCAGTGTAAGACGAGCCTACAAAAAGCCGCTACATTTAGCTCGTAAATTTAGGTCACGACTATCTTCCATCAATCAATTCTACTTCGATATGACCCACATTGCAGCGAACTATTACATGTATTACATACTCTGTGCAAACCTAGTCTGCGCACTTCCTTCTGTAATCGATTTCTCTGTCATGGCGCGCACTCAAGGAAACTATAATGATTATTGTACGTGTAACAAGTATCATATTTTATTTTTCATTTTTAGCATGGAGAATCAAGAAAAGTCGAAAACTAAAGTCGAAGCACGTCGAACGTCACCAACCAAAATAAATCCAGGTATCTTACAGCCATTAAATTTGAGATATAGAGTATCTACCAATTTCTTGGAAAAATTGGTTCACGCAGCTGAAAATATACAAAAGGGCTTATAATTTAGAAAATGAGCCAGAAAGTCGCAACTTCTTCATTTTGTTACACTACATCGGGCAGGATTCTCTCGGTATATTTTATTCATTCAACATAGATATGGATGTCATTACATTCAATGAATTGGCACAAAAATTAGAAAACTATTTTACACTTAAAGTCAATGTTACGATAGAAAGACACAGATTATTCAATAGGAGGTAAGCCATTGATAAGCCTATAGATGACTATGTTACTGATTTAAAAAACATTAGTAGTCAATGCTAGCTAAATGAGAACAAAATAAATATAGTACGGGACATATTTAGTTGGAACTTAAACAATATGAATCAATATGTAAAGGAACAGATTCTTATTAGAAAGCCAAGCACATTGCATGAGACTAACGAATTGGCAAAATACATTGAATCTACTAAATCACAAGCAAAAATATTTGAATCTGGAACAGGTCAAGATTTTGTTAGAATAGAATCAAGACCAACGTCAGATGACCCAGCAGGCAAATTATAGGCAACGAAGCACATCTAAACACTCATTCAACCCCAAGCAGTCAAAAATCAAAGAGCAGCGTGGTTCCAGGTCACTGAGACAAGATGTTTGCAGTCGCTGTGGACAACTACACCGATTCAGATGCCCCATCAAAGGAGTGAAGTGTAATAAATGTGAAAACTCTGGAGCAGGTATCGAAGATGTTTATAAACCGATATGGTTTGCTTACCAAGTAATGGACTCTTTTTTTGGAGATACTACGAAATGTAAGAAAACAATAAATACGGTAGGTAGGATATTTTATTAGATTATTATTACATAAATAGTATATTATTATTACATAAATAGCAAAGTACGAAAGCGCCTTACACAACGATACGGTAAGTTTTCCTCAATCAGTAAGCAAACAATCACCTTAAGTCTGTTGACAATTAGTTCATAACCTATCTACTGAAATATTTAGCAAATTCGTCTCTAATTTCTGTTGCCTGTTGAGCAGATCGGCGTGTAATGTCGCGAATTTCGAATAGCACAGGTGTTCTCCACTTGTCCTCTCCAAGAGCCCGGTTCTATTAAGGTATTATTGTGGTCATAAGTATCTATAGTTCCGGAAGATGTGTAAATGTCTGATGATGTACTACTTTCGTCTCAAGAAATTATGTAGAAGGATACATGTCAACGTTATCAAGGCGGTTTTAGCAGGTTGTAAATTTAATGGTTTCTTGAAAATTCGAAATTTTGTTACTAAAATATCGAAAGTATTTCCAACTACTACTCGTGCTCTGTAAACGACCGTTAATAATATGAAGCCGTTTTTAGAGAATTTTTAGCAAATAAAAATACGTCTTTTTCTTGTGACATATATTGCAAAAGACCAAAGGAATCGATATAATGAACAAAAAACATTATAAAAAATAAATATAAAAACCATAAACAAAATGTATCAAAAAGGTCCCATTCAGGGACATGCTCCAGACAAAATCAGATTAAACTTTCGGTTTGACGATCCCAAGTTGTGATTTCCACAATAGGGTTTCATAATCTTTTCCGAAAGAGCAAAAGCGCCGTCCTCCAAAAAACATACGGCGCGGCGACATTTAAACCAGGCAGCGGATGTGGTTGTGGTAAATTTAAATCTTTTGTCTGCATTTTTGACCATAAAAGTGTGTTAGTGAAAACATCGCCATCACTAATTCTGCCTTAACAGCCAATGTCTGCGTCAATAAAATCGTACTAACTATCAACCAACGTCATTACACTATACTGAATGTTCTTTTATAGTTATAATATTCCCATCCGGAATTTATGGGACATTCAAAGACTATGTTTTCCGTCGATTGATCCAACAGTACGCGGAAATTTCAATGCAAAATCTACAACTACAAGTACAATAATAAAAATAATCATTGTAATTTATTTGTATTTTAGGAGGAGAAGTCTACTCGTAGCGGAGGAAATGTAGAACAAATAAAACTTGACGAAAATCAGAGTAATTACAATCCGCATGCTGATGATCGAAGTCAAACAGTTAATACAAATATAACAGCAGTATTAACAATTTGTCGGCAAAAACACCCCACTAAGCTATTTGAAACAGAAAAAGTTATTAAGGAAGCCTTGTCTTCGTTTAATGCATATTAAAAGAAAAGCATCTTAACCAATCCCAAAAGAAGACAATGATTGCGACTTGTATACAATCTTTTGGCCAAAAATTGAGATAATTAACCAAAAAGTTTTTTTTTTTATGTTATAGGCGGCAGACGAGCAGACGGATCACCTGATGGTAAGTGATTACCGTCGCCCATGGACACCTTCAACACCAGAGAGGCTACAAGCGCGCTGCCGGCCTTGGAGGGAAGGGTTGAGGGGTAGAAGGAAGGGAGTAGGGAGGGGTTGGGCCTCCGGTACCCTCACTCACACGACGAAACACAACGCAAGCTTTGCTTCACGTCGGTTTTCTGTGAGGCTAATGCATGACATAGATGCTATGTGTCTAGGTTTGCAAAATACAAAACATTCAGAATCCTCATCACCAGTACCAACACTGTCACCACAGCAACATGCCATTCAATTTATTGTTTCACGCAAATCATCTTACAGTCAATATAAACCGAGACCTGGAACTTCGTCATCCTCATATTGCGAGCCGATCATTCAATACTCACCAGTATCAACATCGACACTACAGCCACAACATACCAGTCAATTTATGCTATCACACAAATCATCTCACAATCAATATGCACCGAGACCTGGAAACTCGTCATCCTCACATTCCGAGCCGATCATTTATTACTCACCAGTACCAAATTCAAATGGTAATATTCAGTCGAATGATGTTCTGTACCCACCAGTCATTCACATTTCCGATACAAACACAATAGGTACACAGTACCTATTTCTGCACTAGATACTCCGCCTAGGTACTGTGTACCTATTTCTGCGTACCTACGATGCTTATATCATTTTAAATTGGTTTTAATAATAGGTCTTTTTCTTACTAAAAAAACTGGTATTGGTGCGAAGTCACTTGTGGGGATATTTTAAACAAAAAATTGAGACTTTGGTAGTCATCTCCTTGGGCTAAGTATCGTAGTGTTACTGCAAGACGTAACCGAGCTACAATGGCTTCTCTTAATTAATTAGTTAGGCTGTAACAGAGAAAGTTATTTCAATAGCCTAATATTAAAAAGTATTGATCTCTTTTGGTTTTAGCTTTAATTAATTTGAACAACATATTTAATGATTTTTTTAAATTAATCCTTAGGCATAATAATGATAAGATAACAACCTACTTAGCCTTTCAAAAAGTACTTGTTCTATTACGATTAATTCTTGTTATCCACTATCTTCATTTTCACTACTTATTTTATTTTTATTTTTTTCTTTAATATACGCATGATATTCGAATGCACATAACAATAATCTTGCCGCAGCGGTCACTTCAGCGTCCATCGTCATCGAGCGTGAGAACCGTAGTGAGAAGTTCTCACTGAGAACTATTTGAGAACTTTGCGAGTTTGTACCCATACAAAGTTCTCACTACAGTTTTCGCTTACAATCTCCTGAGATTCTCGCGTGAATGTATCGCAAGAATGTGAAACGAAAAGATTTTATGGAAATTTAAACAGTTGGAAACCTCTAACAGACAGTTTATATGCAGTCTGAACCTAATAAACTTTCAATCGACTGTCTAAACTCGAATTTTATGAAAATAAATATTCTAGGCACAGGTATTATTAAATTCCATCAAATTGTATTGGGTATTGTAAAAGCACTACATTATTTCCTAAATACGCTTTAAATATCACGTCGCCTATTAACCATTTCCAGATTTTAACTTAATCAACGTTACTTGTTGTAACATGTATAAGGTTAATAAATTAATAAATCATATGTCCCCTATTCACTTACAGAATATAGATCTAGACAATTTTAATTTAGAAAGTAAATAACTAACGAAATCATTGTCTAAATTAGAAAAGAATAAAAACACACCAAAACCACACATTTTAAAATACGGAACACATTACTCTATATTTACTATTTTACTTTTAATTGTATTTCTTTTGTACTCTTTCTATTTTGTTTATAAGAAGATATGTATATCCGACGGCCACTCTCTCTTTCAATTTAAATTAAGATGAAGAAGGCCATCAGCACAGATTTCCGAATAGACAGACAGACAAGACCCAGAAACAGAGATGAACCATATTGCCCCACTTCGATAAAGGATTTAAAGGAGACTTTAGATGTCTACCCCAAGTCTCCTCTTAAAGGGGGAGATGTTATACCTTTCCGTAGTTAGGATTATAGCAACTGCTAAGCTTAGTCAGCAGTTTTCTTTATATATATACGGGTATATACGGGTTATATATATATATATATATATATATATATATATATATATATATATATATAACCCGTATAAAAATCAAATATTTCACTTGCGACAATTTATGTAATATATATATATATATTACATAAATTGTCGCAAGTGAAATATTTGATTTTTTTTTAGCCGTATAACAGACCGAAAACGCGTGATGTGTCCTCGACCAAGCATACGCTTTGTGATTAACAAGTCCGCAAAGCGTACGCTTCGAATGATACCCCTCCCGCGTACCTCACCTCGCTAGTACTTTGAAATTGACGCTCAGTACTAAACTGAAAGTCGTGGTGTAGTTAAAATGGTTTACTTTGCTTTGTCAGTCGCTATTGGAATACTGTATCACATGTTGAGGTGGTGTAGTAAATCTCACCTTATCTAACTAGAGCGTACTCAAAGAGCCATCATGAAGGTAGGTGCCGGAATGACTTACTCTTTTTCATCAAATGAGCTCTACAATGATGAGAAGAATACAGGGTGAAACGAGTCCTATAGAAGAAGTTCTTACTCAGACTCTGATGAACCTACAACATCACAGGAATACACAAGAAAATATTATTTCAGAAAACGAAGATGTATGAAGTGGGCAAAAGAACCTCCGTCTAGAAATCGACGTTCTCCTTCCTTGCTCATAACATCGTAATACCAATGACTAATGTGAACGTCCTAGCAGAAAGTGAACAAGTTAATTTATTCAATTTGTTTCTTAGTCCTAATATAAAGAACAAAATTATAGTCCACACAAACGAAAGACTCGAAATAATGAGGCAGAAATATAAAAGGACAAACAAACCTGAATTGAGAGATATAGATGATATTGAATTAGATGTTTTTTTTAGATATGTTGTTGTTCAGTGCAGCTTTCAAATCAAATGATGAAGATGTGAATGACATATTTGCAACTGATGGTACAGGAAGAGAAATTTTTAGAGCAGTAATGTCTTAGGAAAGATTTCAAATGATTTTGATCGCTCTTTGGATCGATGACTTTTCAACTAGAGATGAAAGAAAATTGGCTAACGTAGCTGATGCTGTATCTGAAATATTCGTTTCCAACTGCTAAAAATATTATAGGTTGGGTGATAATACAACAATTAACGAAATGTTTGGGTCATTAAGAGGACGGTGTCGTTGGAAGAAATATATGCCAAAAAACCACGCAAGTACGGGTTAGAGATAAAATGTTTGATTGATGGAAGATCTGAATTTTTGTATAATGCTTACTTATATACTGGAATGAACAGTGATGGCTTGGGTCTTTCTAAAATAGAAAAAAAATCTTTTACCGAGTCAATGTGTTGTACGTTTGTCGAAACCGATCCAGAATACCAATCGTAACATCACTGCAGATAACTATTACTCATATGTGATGTTGTTAAATATTTATTTATATTTATTTATTTATCTATTGAGGTTTGTTGTGAACTGAAAAAAAAAGAAACGAGAAATCCCACCAGAGTTTCTCGAAAAGAATCGCACTGTCAAGTCAACTATGTACGGCTTTACTAAGGACATAACTTTACTGTCATATGTACCTAAACGAAACAAAAAAATTAATCATGGTGTCTATGCATCATGATCAAGCTAAGGATGTTCTAAAAGAAATTCTGGAGATCATTTCATTTTACAATTCATCAAAAGGCGGCGTAGATTCGTTGGTTGAAAAATGCGCTAAATATTCTTACTCCAGGCGTACCTGAGGGCCTAGACAAGTGTCAAACGCTCGGTGTCGTTTCTATTCCGAAAAACGTATACGTAACGTAAATTAACTATTATTTGTCTTACAGTCATGGAACCAAGACAACGTGCCAGTAGAGAGCAGTTCTCAATCATGATCGAGTTCATGGAAAGGTATTTTTTATAGAAATCATTCCTTACATCACCTAAAATACTTCATCTAGCTGACGTGATTCAAGTAACAATATACGACAGAAGTACAATTTATTCCTTGATATAGGCACGGCGATATCTTGAGGCCCCATCCCGGTGTTCAAGGACGATTAAAAAGTGACCAAATGTGGAAGGAGGTGACCGTTTTATTAAATTCCGTGGGTGGTGGCGTGCAGAAATCTGCCGATAAATGGAAAAAGGTAAGTAGATTCCTAGCTACCGCTTTGAGGTTCCTACAGCGACAGATCAAATTAGACACTATGTTCTTATCTATTTGTAGTAGAGGCCATTTCTTCTTGATCTGTTGCCTACTATACTAGATAAAGTATTTTCACTCTCATTTATGCTTTGATTAGACAAGCAATAGTTTCACTGCAATATCTTGCTGCAACTTTGTTAAATGTATGGGAAGCTGATTTTTGTCATTGGATATTTGTCCATAGAAGAAAAGGCAATGCATCGAAATCCTGCAGTGAAACAATTGCTCGAACTCTTAGAGGCCAACTAACATCATTATTTCGCCGGTGTTTTTAAATAACTGTCTTTATTTAGGTATGTGCCCATACCTAAATAAAGACAGTTATTTAAAACAAAAAAAAAAAATTTAAACATAAGAAATGAGTCGCAAGGTACAGGAGGTGGTCCGAGGCGATGCCTTGCCCTAACCATGTTCGAAGAGCGGGTGGTGGCAGTTATAGGGACACATGCTATCACTGGGCAGCCTGGGATCCAAGTGCAGGGTTTTATTGTTAGTATTTTGTTTTTATTTATTCCACATAAGTGCTGGAATACCCTACTACTCTTTGTATTTGCACAAGTTTTTTAGTTTTAAAATATATGTACCTAATGTAGCATAAATGTCTTTCACATAATTATGTGAAATCTTATAATTTTATTTTTTTCCTTTCATGATATTTTGGTAGTGGTCATTAATAACATTAATACTCAAATAACACATATTTCAGAGACAACCAAGTGAGGTGCCCTATGAGCCGAGCCAAAGAGAGGACATTCATGTGGAGGTCCCAAGCAGTTAAAACAGTAAGTATTTTCAGTGCAATAAGAAGATCTAGCATAAACTTTTATATTAAAAAATCTTTTTTGTAAATGTGAATATTTGGAAATAATGTAATTTAAAATTCTTTATAGGTATCACTAGTATGTCAGTATATTGTTATGTAATATATTTTTTATTACTTGCAGCGACTTTACGAGTTCCTTCCCCACCAGACGCACTACGAGGAATTTCACCTCCACCTCCAGTTCCGACATCATCATCTCCGCGAAGAATTCCGTCTCCACCAAGAAGTCCTCCAGTACAAACCCAACACCTCTCCCGGACTACTTCGACGCCTCGATCGACTACCACTACTACTCCGCGCCGATCATTACCAAGGGCGCGAAGGAATAGGGGATTACTCCCTTCGATCGCGCGGCAAGCGAATTTGTAGCTATAGAGAAGCGGCGGATGGAGAATGAAATGGCTAAAGAGAAGCTCCTCCATGAACGGGAGATGGAGAGGCTGCGGCTAGAGGCCCAGAGGATTGAACTGTCTCGGCAACAAAATACATTGTTGCAAGAATTAGCTGTAATTGGCCAGAATCCAATTAAATGTTTAACTCCGCAGCAATTAGATTCTGGCTTCATTAATGAATAACTCTGGTGTATTTTTTATATAATTAGGGTTTATACCAAAATGGTCCAATAGAACCCTTATGATCTCACTCGGTCTGTTTTCTCTCACAGCCGATCGACTTTGTAACACATATACAGTTTGATGACCCAAATACGGACGTATATCGTAAATAGACAAATTCTAATTTACAATAATAATAATAATTTTCTTTAATTCTTTCCATTACAAAATTTAAATAATCTTAGGTCCCACAAAACTATATTTCAGCTCTGTGCCTTCGGCTTGACCTTCGGAGATAACCTACCATACCCAATCGTACCTACGTGCGTTTATTTATGACCTTTCTCTCTGTCTCTGTCTCTGTGCATTGCGGGTCACGGCGTCCACACCCTCTCTCACGCGGCGGGCGGCGGCGGCTGGCGCGCGGCGACGGGCGCGCGCTCTCGTTAGTACGCTTACTTTTACCTAGCGTGCACACGTGTGTTTGTTTAGTGTTAGCAGTATTACATACGATCAAGTGTTTCAACGTTGTTGTAATGTTCTATGAGAGATTTACCGGGAAGAAAAAGGTAAGTCTGTTCTGTAACACTAATCTTTTTGTTTTTGTATATTATAGATAGTGCGCGCGATGTTTCGTGGTTTTTGACAGTGTTACGATGTCAGGTTTGTCGGACATTCCATCCGTAAACTTAGACTTCGCAGATTATAGGCAGATTATATGTTCGTCGGTCATACCTTCCACGACATACATATCACCTACACGACCGTAGATCCACGAAAAGAGTGGATAGACTCGTCGGCCAGCTAGCCACAGTCTTTCGCTGGTCATAACCACCTACTAAACTGTCTAGACGACTGAAGAATAAATGAGCGGCGCCTATCGAGTTCTGGGCGGCGCATCTCGACGTTTGGGCGGCGCCGCCCGATATTTGAGAGGCGCCGCTTGAAAGTTGAGAGGCGCTGCTCAGGGTTTATGAGGCGCTGCTCAGAGTTTGAGAGGCGCCGCTCGAGAATTGAGCCGTCCCTTCAGTTTATAATTACTTAAGAAGTCTTAAGTTCTCATAATTTATACTGAATCTGTCTTACTTCAGATGACGAGTCAGAGAGGCATTACAACCCTCGGTGAGCTGCTGGGTGAGCAGACCGAATCTGACAAAGATGAAGAGGTGCTAGAAAGGGTTAAGATTCTGGCTCAGGAGCATCTTCCGGAAGGATGGACTAACTGGGAGGTATCCACAGTCACTAAGGAGGAAGTCTTCGGTGAAAAGATTGAACCAAGCGTGATGAACAAACTCGTCTTCGCACTACCTACCGTGGGACTGACCCGCGCTTTCTTACCCGATGCTAACCATCTTTCGGAGAAAGGCTATCGTGTTATTAGACTTAAGTTACTTGATTGGGCTTTCACGCGAGCTCTGATTCTTGGTCCTCCGGCAGTAGCTAACCGCATCCGCGGCTCCGCCTTACGCACTGAACTATTTAAGCAAGCAGTTGAGCCACTGCGACCTCTTTTACATACAAGATCTGAGGCTGATGCAATTCTGTCAGGTCGTCGCTTGGGAAGTGAGGAGACCAACCGGAAGAGGAGAAGTAACTCATCATCGACTTCATACAGCCACTATCAGCACGAAGAGCCTCCGCTACGAAGACGTAGAGTAGAATCGCCGTCCCCGATACAGGATGCTAGAATTGGAGCTCTGGAACAAAGGGTGGAGGACATGTTTTCCATTATCTTAGAAAGACTAGAGCCACGGCAGCGTGATGACCCGGAGTCTGATAAGGAAAATGAATCTTACGATGAGGTCGAAATATCATCGGAAGCTTCTAACTCCCCTTCGTGGCATGCACCCCCATTGGATCTTTCGGATTGGCATGGCGAAGGAAACGAGAGAGAGCTAGAATTTTTGCCGTCTATCAAAGAAGCAGACCCTCTTATACCTGAGCCTTCAGCGGAGCTCAAATGCGAGGGTATTGAATGTCAACGGTTGGGCACGGAAAGTTGGAACCGTGTTCGTTATAAAGAAGTCGAAAAGCACTTGCACGCAGGGTCGGTATTCAGTGCTTTGAAGGTGAATACTGAGTTGGGAACTCTGGCATCACAACCTTCACCTAGCATGAACAAGCAAGAGGGGATGCTCGGTACGATTACGCACGGCTTGCTACTTCAATGCAAGGCCCTTGCGAGAGTTTTAATGCTATTGTAAAGAAGTGTCCCAGTATCAGCGCGGATCTAAGGCAAATAGTGGAAGACTCTAAGTTTAAATCTATATCAGACCAGTTGCTACAATTTGTGTGTGCACATCGTGCTGAGACTATCGATCTACGTCGCAAGTCCTTCAAGGCCAGGAATGAGGTTCTCAACGGCGCACTTAATAATATCCCCCCCTCTCCAACACACTTGTTTGACGAGAAACATTTAAGTTCCTTCATTAAGGATAATGGTGGTCTTTATTCAGTTTTTAAGTCTCAGAGAGGCGCTGATAAGAGAGATAACGCGAATCCCTTTCGGAAACCAAGTAATGCCAGAAAATCTAAAATTAAGATACAAAATTGGCGCTCAACTCGTACCGGGATTCCATCTAGCTACCTCTCACCGGCCCATCATCATTAACACAAATGAACTTTGTTTTAAAAACATTGAGGAATTTGTTATTAAAATAGCATTTAAAAAGAACTTTAAAAAATGAGTGATACCAAAAGACGAATAAAAAAATATGAACCGAGTTCGTCCCTCAATATCAAAGCCCCGCCCACCCGCCAGCCGCCAGGCGGTTTTATTATTCTGTTGGTATTGTCCGGTCGACCGCCACTGTGCGACTATAAACATCAACTCCACGAAAAATAAAAGTTTAAAAATAAATAAATAGTATTTTGGAAAGTGTAAAGTACTTATAATGTGAAGAATAGTGCATAGAACATTTGTTAAGGAAGACAGTGACAATAGTGAACAAATACAAAAATAATTAACGAAAAACATTTGAACGGAACGATTCCTGTTTACCTCAGCTTATACCCTTTTATAACAATTTTAAGAACTGATACCAATTAAAACCTAAATAACTAAGTGATACAATGTCAATCAACAATAAAAAGTGAAAGTTCACCCAGAAATACCAAGATCCTTAGTGTCGAAGTGCAAAATAAAAACATAATAGTGGAACGACATTGCGAATTAGTTAGGGATATTGCCATAACTTAAGAACAGCGCCATCTGTTGGTCTCCCCCAATACTAAAACAACCCAACACATCCATAATCACAAGACATTGATAACGGGAAGCTAATACAACAAAAACACCACTAGAGGGCACCTCTAGTACCAAAACAAATAGCTTAAGAGAGGAAAAATGGAAGAACTTATGAATATGTTAAAAAAAATACAAAGCGAACTAGACGAACAGAAAAATACTATTATTAAAAATGGAGAAATGGTGACAGAGCAAGTCACCCGAAACATAAACAGCAATTTGGACCAGAAATTCGCAATTTTGGAAAGCAAATATGAGAATCTTAAAGACAAGTTAGATAATCAAGAGAAAGGGTTGTATTTCATCGAAAAGCAAGTAAGACAGAGAAATATAGTCTTCTTTGGAATACAAGAAAACGAAACAAACTATTTTAATTTGGAGAATAATATGATTTACTTTATAAAAAAGTATTTTTCTTTGGAGTTAGATAAAAGAGATATACAAGAGGCTAGAAGAATTGGAAAAAAGGGAGACAAAGCAAGACCAATAACCGTCACCTTCACTACGCTTGGCACAAAAATAAACATCCTGAAACAGAAAAATACATTAAAAGACTCCGGCTACTATATTCAGGAAGACTACCCACAGAATATTCTAGAAAAAAGAAGAGAACTTAAAGAACAAGTGAAGATTGAAAGAGAGAAGGGAAACCTAGCGATAGTAAAATACGACAAACTGGTCTTTCTACAGAAAAACAAGGAATCTACGACTAAGAATAAAAGGATGCTTTCAACATCACCAGAAAACAACCCCATTACCAACAAGGGGAAAGAATCACAGGCTAGTAAGAAGAATAAAAGCCAAACCTCGGTAGGAAGATCTTCTAGTTTCTCGGACGGAGCTTTGAAACCAGGAATTTTGAGTTTCTTAACCACGAAAGACTCAAACACAACAGCACAAGATAACATGAACAAAAAAAATAGCAATTAGCGCCCCCTTCTACAACTGATAATACAGCACAATTAGATAAACAAAACGAAAACCATCTTCCAATCCGGTCGGTCACCGTGGAAGATTATGACCAAAACCCTCCATTGGACTTGAATAAAGCCAATATAGCGAAGCTAAACAAAAACAAGCAACAAAAACTTTACATACTAACATACAACGTCAAAACACTTTCAACATATGAACGACTCTTAGATCTTAACGAAGCCCTAACAAATATTAAATATGACATAATAGGTTTGGCCGAAACAAGGAGATTTGGAAATAAGATAGAAGAATACAAACAGTTCATATTATGTCATACCGGTGAAACCCCAGGAATGTATGGAATAGGTTTCCTAATAAATAAACGCCTTAAAAACAATATCGAAAGCTACATAGGGCTGTCAGAGCGAGTAGGGATATTAAATATAACACTGAAAAATATTAATATGTCCATAATACAAGTTTATGCACCTACTGAGAGATCTACTGAAGATGAAATTGAACAATTTTACACAATAGTGGATAGAGCGATAGAAATATCACATAGAGACTTTATATTAATGGGAGACTTAAATGCAAAAATAGGTAAACCTAGACAAGAAGAACACCTTATAATGAAAAGTAAGGGATATGGAATAAGAAATAGCAGAGGACAAAGATTAATAGATTTCGCGATAGAAAACAACCTTTCAATTATGAACACATTTTTCAAAAAGAAGCCTAAGAATAAGTGGACATGGCGTTCACCTGATTGGAAACACAAAAATGAAATTGATTTTATTCTATCAAATCGACCTTCCTTATTTGAAAATGTAGGCGTACTAAATCTGAACTACCCATCAGACCACCGACCAGTGAGGGCAACACTAACACTCAAAATACCAAGCAAAAGTAGATCTAAATACAACAACCACAAAACCTATCATCTGAAGACTGAAGAACAAATAGCAAAGTTCCAAGACACACTGAAATACCACCTAATAGAAAGTCAGTTGAAAGTCTCCGGCAGTGCCTCTGTTCAAGATCAATATGACTGTCTGTCAAATATTATTATTAAAAGCCTACAATCGACAACAGACACTAACACAAACAAAAACAAGATAATAACAGAACCTACATTAAGACTAATGCAAAAAAGACAGGAACTACAAAACAGCAACATAAAAACTAGAGCAATGAAAAACGAACTATCAGCCCTTTATAAACTGACAAGTAAATATCTCAAGAACGACTACTCGAATCACAGAATGAAAACCATAGAGAAACATTTGACAAATACTGGGAGTACCAAAAAAGCGTTTAAAGAACTCAGAACAAGCAAAAGCTGGATTGACGGGCTAAACAGTCAGAAGAAAACGCTTAATAGTCGGAATGATATAATCAACACTGCAACAGAGTTCTACAGAACATTATACAGTCCAAAACAATCGAAAGAGGACACAGACGAAAACATACCATTTATGAATAAGAATAAGGAAGCGAACCTGCACCAAATAGAACCAAAAGAAGTATTAGAAACAATAAATAAACTTAAACAAGATAAATGCCCCGGATCTGACAACATAACTAATGAAATCTTAAAAATTGCTTCCCCGACTCTAACTCTACCTATAACAAAATTATTCAACTACATTTTAGACCAAGGAGAAACACCCAGACAATGGTCTGAATCCAACATTATATTATTATATAAAAAAGGAAACCCAAAAGACATAACTAATTATAGACCGATTAGCCTTTTGCCATGTATGTATAAGCTATTTTCGTCAATAATAAACCAGAGATTAAGCAACACACTCGAGTCGAAGCAACCTGTAGAACAAGCTGGTTTTAGAAAGGGATATTCAACGATCGACCACATCCACTCTCTGGAACTTGTTATTGAAAAATACCAAGAGAAAAGGAAACCATTATACATCGCATATATAGACTACCAAAAAGCCTTTGATACCATATCACACGCCAGCGTTTGGGAAACACTAATTGGCCAAGATGTAGAGATTGAATACATAAAAGTTATCCAAAGTATATATAGCAACAACAAGAGTAGAATACAACTAGAAACAACAGGCCCTTGGTTTCCTGTCAAAAGAGGTGTGAAGCAAGGAGACCCACTCTCGCCAAGACTATTTATAGCCGCCCTAGAACAAATCATAAGCAAACTAGATTGGGAAAAATATGGCTTAAGGATAGAAGACAAGTATCTAAGTCATCTTCGGTTCGCAGATGATCTGGTACTACTAGCTGAGAATGAGAAACATCTGCAATATATGATAGAGTCGCTTAACACTGTCAGCAAAGACATAGGACTGGAAATGAACCTAACGAAAACAAAGATAATGACAAACAGTACAAAGATAGATATAACCATAGACCAAGAAAAACTTGAGTACACCGAAGAATACATATACCTAGGCAAACAAATAAGTTTTAATAAAAATAACAATGAAAAAGAGGTGGAACGCAGGGCACAACTTGCCTGGAACAAATATTGGAGCTTGAAAGAAATATTTAAAGGACAAACACCACTCAAATTAAAAACAAAACTATTTAACAGTTGCATCCTACCCTGCCTAACATACGGCTGTCAAACCTGGAAGTACACCGATAAAGTGAGAAACAAACTTGTAACTTGTCAGAGAGGCATAGAACGCAGCATGTTAAACATAAAAAAACTCCAGAAGATCAGACACACAAAAATACGACAAACAACGAAAGTGAAAGACGGGCTTGAATTTGCCTTAACACAAAAATGGAAATGGGCGGGACATGTGGCACGTCTCCAGGATCAAAGATGGACAAAGAGACTAACGCAATGGGAAGGCCCAATAGGAAAAAGGAGGAGAGGTAGACCGAAAGCGAGATGGGAAGACGAGATTAAAAGAATAACGGGTCCTAACTGGATAGAGATAGCCCAGAATAGAGACAACTGGATGTCCATGGAGGAGGCCTTCACCTGTAGAGGGGTTCCTACAAACGAACTATGTAACTAACAATATAAATATATTACATAAAAATTACTAACTCATAGATATTTACATGTTTTTTTATATACTTAGTAGGAAATAAAAGGCTTTTTATTTTTTTATTTATTTTATATTGTCCGGTCGATCAGTCGCCGCCGACCTTTTGCGCTGGAGTGTTGTTGCGCATCGCCGCCGACGCACCGCTTTTGCGTCTTTTTTGTCGATTTTTGTTTTGTTCTAGTGCATTTTTAATTGAATTGTTGTTAATAAGATACTAGAGTGTTCGTCTTGAGTGTTATGTTTAGTTTAGTGAAGATTGTGTTTAGTTTTGTGTGAAATGTGATGTGCTTTGCGCGTGCATACACTGGCATGCAAAAGAGCGTGCTTAGCTGTCTTCAGAGAAGAATTGAACATTTTCAGCATCGACTATCATTAAGATATCGGTAAATAATTAAATTAAATTAATGTATTTCGCGGTCCGTTGTAATCTGCGCACAATCGATATTGCGCATGCGCGTTAAGGGGCTGTCAACACTTAGAAATTTAAAATTTTTACTCCATTTTTACACCTCCTCTATTTTTAAATATTTGTCAAATAAAATGAACGTTTGCATGTAACCTAACTTGAAACTTTCGGCTGTGTCGGTCATTTTGTTCCTCCCGGTATATACCTGTATTTTGCTTCCCATGTAGATACATTACATTTTATTTAAATCTCAATAGAAATGCAGCTAAGGATTGCATTTTTACTTACCATTTGAACATTCAAAGAATGAAATCCTTTCCTATTGAAATAAAGGTGCTCCTCAGAGTCAGGCCTTATTATTGCTATATGGGTGCAGTCAATGCACCCTATTACACCTGGCAAATTAAATCTTCTTTGAAACCTATAAAGAATATATTAATTGAATTATTGAAATTACAATACTAAATAGTGTACCTACCTAATAATAAAATTGTATGTATGAGTACTACTTACTCTTGTCTTAATGTTGATCTTTCTTGCCGTGTCTGTGGAAATTTGATGTACTTATTCAGTACATTTTGATTGTTAAGGGCCGCCACAACTTGCCGTATACAACGGCTTGCTATGCGTTGTGGCAGATATTGTGTGACCCCAACAATCCTTTGGTATGATTCTGTTGCTAACAAAGTCAGCGTACAAAGAACCTGTAAAATAGACAATGAGTTGTATGTAGATAAATATTTAGCTATACTTGTTAAGTTATACCAGCTTCATTGCATTTCATAGAAAAATTATAGTAGGTAGATACTTATAATATCAAATTATTAGTATAACCTACCTTGACTTCCAGAGAGATTTCTCTTGTTCCTCGTAACTAAGTAGATGATTGTAACTCATTACAAAGGTTCCTAAACAAAAGTTTAGGGAACCTGTAATTTTCTCTGAAGAGTTCTTCAGGCATCTCATCTATTTGGCTCATCACCAACCGACGCATCGCGTTACTTCGGCGGCGCCTGAGCCACATCTCGTTATGAGCAGCCCACATAAGCCGAAGTGCGTGCATTTTACTAACAAGAATTAATATCTACGATATTAACAAAGACGAAACACAAAACTTGCGGGTGATTAAAATTTCCTAGAAAATATAGTAGGTAACGTTCGCTACTTCTTCTTCTTCTTTTTAATTAATGGCGTTGCCCTTGTGGATTTCGCAAGAATCCAGTGTTTCGCTCTTATTAATTCATGTTTTGATATTTTATAAACTCTGTATTTTCGCTAACTCTGGCGTTATCTCCAAGGTTTTGGCGTTCGCTTAGCTATCGCAGATTTCAAACGCTAACAGGCGTATTAGATTGTCAAAACTGCCACTTGACTACGATTTTGTATAGAAGATGTCAATCGACGCTGACGTTTCGTTTTATCGAATAGAGATTGTTACCACTTGGCTACCAATTGACAGTTCGATACACGAGACGAAATTACTTAACGTAAGATTATGTCAATCCCATACATTTAACAATCTATTCTACTAGCGTTCATGCCACTTGTCTAGGGGCTCAGATGTT